AGTTATAGGGATTGCACTCAATAATAGTTGAAGACCATATGATTGTATATGTGATCATCACTCCACTGTAAGGTATAAACTTTTCCCATGCTTGGATTTTGAATGTCTGATCTAATCCAATCAATTTATATTTGGAAACAAGAACGAGAAAAGAAAACAAACTTGTGCCATGTACATTTTAAGTTGGTTGGCTTATTTATATGGTACTAGCCAGCATTAATCCCATTTAACTAAAAATTAAAATATACAGCATCTTATCGATTTAATAAAAAATTATTATTACTATTATTATTATTATTATAAATACTGCAACTGTTTTATTAGTGGGAAACAACAAAAAAAGAAATTATACTGTTTTAATTTGATGTAACAATTGAAAATAGATGTACTGTACCCATTATCTTGTTATCAGTCTACTTTTGAAAATAGGATGTAGTGTACTTTCTGCCGTCAGTACAAAATAAATACTTACTTTTAAATTTTTTACAACTGGAGTCTTCAAAAACTAGAAATGAAGGAGAAAAATACTGAAATGAGAAAAAAGTTGTCTAGAAAGTAAATTCAATACAGTGGAGTCCTATCCATCTTAAACCTTCTTGGGAAATGGTTAGAAATAACAAGGGTTCAAGATATCCAGGTGAGAATAAAATTGTAGTGACACATTCATAAAGTCCATGGGACTTTGCCTAAAGTCTTTAGATAATGGGTTTGAATTGACTTAGAGGAGATAAATACTACACTCTTCCCCCCCTCCACAAAAACCTAACGTGCTAAATTTAATTTAAATCTGTGAATTGGCCATGGCCTGATGACTTTCATTTCGGAACTGCCTAAAAGCGGAGCTCCCAATACCACAGGGAGCCCAATTTAGATAAAACGGAAAGATGAAAATAAAATTGTGCAAAACATATCCAATTTTTTTCTCTCATCCAAGATGAAGTTAATGCTCCCATAACGAAAACTATGAAGAGAAAAAAATGAAATATAAATGCACTACATCATTTTCTTCGCACAAGCCTTTGTTTTGACCTTAGTACTCTCCCAATTAGGAATGTTGTCGTGAACATGTACACAACCCACCACCATCCACCCCAGGGACTAGTTTTGTTCTTGAAAAAATTCTTCGACAAAGTTTTGCATAGCCGACATTTTTATGATATGAATTCCAATTGTTGTTGGTCTAAAATTTGCCCTAAAGTGATTTTTTTGAGCATTTGAGAGCTGCATTTGCGAGTAGCTTTGCTTTGACATCAAGCGGGGTCCCTGTGTTGTGTACACAGACTGACGGACGGACGGAGTAAGAGACGTCAGCCAAGGCATCAACTCGATGGTTTACCATTTTTTTAAAGTATGGTGCTCCGCTTGTGTGGGAGCTCCGCTAAAACTTTAAGTTTTTTTACTGACTCAGTAGACTAAAGTTACTGTAGCAGCTATCTTTATAATTGTATAGTATTTGGATGCCCTTAAGAACATGTCCATGGATAAAAATACAATTCATTGTATTAAAAAATACAATTCAATGGTATTATACATTGAAACTCTACTAGGCTGATTGTCTGGTAAATAAATTATAACTAATATTACATCATGTCATAATCAAATTGAATTACAGGATTGCAAACCTTTCATTTGAACTTGGTGATAAATGCCTTGGCCAATTCCATTAGTTATATAACAGGTCTAGTTGCCTTCAACTGCTTTTACTAGAATCTTACTTTCCACTCCAGTTTTATTTTCTTTCACTGATTTATTATTTGGATTGTACCAGTAATATGTTGGAAGAGGATACCCATTAGCAGCACATTTAATGTGCTTTTCTTCACCAGGGCAAGCTTTTGTGTAATTATCAGAACGACTTCTGTCTAACTTTGGGGGGTCTAAAAATTGGAAAATAAAATAAAATAATGAATAAATAATGAATATAAAAAGAATAAATAAATGTAAATCAAAATAATATTCTGAATAATTAACGCCTTTGATTATACACATATTCATATAGAAAAGGGCGCTATATAAATAATATAAATCATCACCATCATCATCATAGAAGCACTTGGGTTGGGTTTGTTGATAAGGATGTGCAACCCAGAACCAAAAACCCTCACACTAGTATTTTAAGCAAGAAAATCTTAACATTTCATTATTACTCATATTCCTGTTTTTAAAAGGCAGCATAAATGAACAATGACTATTTATCAAAATAACAATCTCAAAATTAATACTGCACTATAAGCTAAATGTATCCAAAATGAATGGCCCTGTTCAGCAGCACACTCCTGCATGTCTGGCCTATTTCTATATTTTGCAAATATTACTCCCCTCCCCCTAGGGAAATGCAAAATGCATTATATTGCACCAGCTTCCCAAACCTTATTTCAATCATGTACATAGGAATGTCAGGTTATATGATCTTAATTAGGCACATAAAACCAAGAAATGGACCAAACAAAAGTGTATACTGTGGTCAAGTTGGTGTTACATAACAAAATACTTGCCATTAGCTCCCTATTAATACCAAACATGACTGTCTTGTGTTTGTCATGTCAATCTCATGGGAATGCTTATAAAAAAAATGGGGTTCAAAATTCCTGTTTGTTGAATGTTTTCCACAAAGAGCCATTAGACCCCTTGCAGCACTTTGGAAAGCAGCTCAATCTGGGGGACAAATTAATAGGTTCCAACATTGATTGAAATTCTTTTTTTTTTGTCCCCAAGATGGAGGTGCTTTCACATTACATGCAAGTGATCTATAGTACATAAGCTCGTCTTTAGCAATTTTGATAATTTATACATACGTTTGACAGTAACAGTTATCATTTTCTGTACTGGGTGTTCATTTGGATTATTAGTAGCATTACACTTGTATACGGTGCCATTCTGTTCTCTAGTGATTTTGGCAATATTCAGCACAGCAGACTGGATCCCTTGTGCTAGAACCACACCTGTATTGTTAAGCCATATGACATTTGGTGTTGGAGGACCAACAGCTGAGCAGATTAAAGTCAAGTTTGTATACTCTGTGACATTTGTTTCACCAGTTATGTTAATCTGGGAACGAACTATAAAATTAAACATAATTATTAAATATTTAGTTCATAGCTTCAAATTTTAGCAATCATTTGATTGGTGTGTTTTAAATATTTTTGGGCTAATAAATAATTTACTATTGTTAATCTGGACTGAGTAGCAACTGACCTAAGCCTCTCGTACACATATGAAAACATTTAAATTGTTTCACACCACATGACAGGGGACTAGTCAGTCCACAACAATAGTTTTAACAAATAGACATCAGTTTTTTATGTGTCTGTTCTCTTATTGACAGTTAACTGCGACATCACATTGTCAAAGTAGTGTGGATTCAAGAGGCGTAGCCGAGTGGATCCGCATACTATAGTTTGACAATGTGATGGCGAAATGTATTATCAATAAGAGGACAGACACATAAAAACTGATGTCAATTTGTTTTTTACAATAACAAAAACGATAAAAACTTCTCATTTTTAGCGATTAAAACAACCAATGGAAAGAGCGCACGCTCGTTGAC